AGTGCGCCAGCAGGACGGTCAGCTGGACGTGGCTGCAGCACCGCTCCCCCCTGACCGTGCAGCAGCGGCTGCGGTGGACCCGGCGGTCATTGCGCAGGAGCCGCTCTACTGCGTTACCATCGACGAGCTCATTGACAAGCGGAATGTCATGGAGAAGCTCATGGAGGAGTTTGTGCAGAAGGAAAGTGCCGCAGCGGACGATGCTGAGGTGTTAGAGGGCGAACTGGCAGACGTTCTCGTACAGCTGAAGGCGCTGGAAGGTCAAAACGCAGCACTTGCCGCCCTGCTGAGCGCGAAGGACGCCGACATTGCGGACCTCATGGCGCATGACGAGCGGTGGGTGGTGCCCGACCGGCAGATGGGCCAGGTGACGACACGCCACCGGAAGGTCTTCGACGGCGATGAGTGGGGCGCCGTGCTCACCAATAAGCCGGAGGCACTGCGGTACGCATTCGTAACGGATGCAGCGGCTGCGTGCCACGTGGCCGCTGATGCCATTGGTGAGCCCTCATTTGCCCTTGGAAGTCTGCACGTCGACTTCAACGTCACGCACGACGAGAACGTTACCGAAAAGGAGATTGACCAGCGGATCACCGAATACCCATTCCGCAACACAATGGCTCTATACGGCGACCGCCACGGTGCAAAGGAAGGTCTCGACAAGGCGCTTGGCGAAATCGCGCAAAAAGACGAGGAAATCGCCGGTCTATCAGAACAGCTCGCACTAAAAGAGTCTGAGCTCCAGCGTCTAGCGGAGGACCTTGCGCAAAAGGAAGCCGACAACGACAAGCTGGCCGGTGAGCTTCCACAGAAACAGGCGAACAATGATATGCTTGCCGACGAGCTTGCGCAGAAGGAGGCTGATATTGCTGCACTGACTGCGGAGGTGGAAGCGTTCCGCCGCAAGCGTCACGAGGCCCTTGNGAGGGAAGCTGATATTACTGCACTGAATGCGGAGGTGGAAGCGTTCCGCCGCAAGCGTCACGAGGCCCTTGAAGTGCGCCAGCAGGACGGTCAGCTGGACGTGGCTGCAGCCCCGCTCCCCCTTGACCGTGCAGCAGCGGCTGCGGTGGACCCGGCGGTCATTGCGCAGGAACCGCTCTACTGTGTTACCATCGACGAGCTTAACGACAGGCGGGATGCCGTGGATAAGCTGGGAGAAGATTTGTCCGAGAGGGGAAGGACCATAGATGCGTTGGATGGCCGTCTGAAGGACCTTGAAGGAGGCCTGGCTGCAGCGAATGCCGCTGCACTTGGCGAGAAAGAGAAGTGTGAGAAGGTTCGCGATACGGTTCGCCGCGCAATGGATGCAATGAAGGAACAGAACGAAAAGGAGGTGGAGGCGCTGCATGGTGAGTACGGCCAGAAGCTGGCCGCATTGGAGGCTGAGATTGCCGCACACAGGGAGTTGCGAGGGGCGCGCGACACGAAGAGACGCTCCCTCCCAAGCTTGAGTGTCTACGAGGTGCGAGAGCTCCCACCGGTCGCACCAGCAATACCGCTACAGCCTGAGGCTATTTTGAGCGAGCCGCCCTACTGTGTCACCCTTGAGGAACTTGACGAGCAACGCAATTTCAAAGATATNGCTCCCCCCTGACCGTGCAGCAGCGGCTGTGGTGGACCCGGCGGTCATTGCGCAGGAGCCGCTCTACTGCGTTACCATCGACGAGCTCATTGACAAGCGGAATGCCCTGGATAAAATCGTCGAAGACCTTGCGCAGAGGGAGGCGGACAATGATATGCTTGCCGACGAGCTTGCGCAGAAGGAAGCTGATATTACTGCACTGAATGCGGAGGTGGAAGCGTTCCGCCGCAAGCGTCACGAGGCCCTTGAAGTGCGCCAGCAGGACGGTCAGCTGGACGTGGCTGCAGCACCGCTCCCCCCTGACCGTGCAGCAGCGGCTG